CAAAAATAAAGTAAATAATATATGGGTTATATATTTATTTATTAAAATTATATTTTCTAAGTTAAAAAATCTGTAGTGTCTTTGGGGGGGTGTGGGGGGCTTAGCCCCCCACGGCTTAGGTTTCAAAGCGCTTAGGTAGGTGGGTGGGTATAAATTAATGTCCATTGCCACACCTAAAAAAAATTAGTTCGGCGCCACTGGATACAAACATATATAAATTACAAATGAGTATAAAATAATCTGAACTATTAAAGTATATATATTATTTTTCGTATTATTGTGCTATCATTAGTGTATTATATTACATATAAACAAATGCGTACAATCATTTTGAATTGTCATAGAATAAACGAAAAATTACCATAATGTAGTTACAAATTAAAACGAAGGGTATTGGAATTATTAACGTCTTCTGTATCAAACTAACCACAATTTTTCTCATTGCATTAGAATTATAATAAATTTGTTATCTATAATAATTACCCGGTTAAAAAATTGTCATATTCTTCCTTACACGTCCTAATCGGTTGCTCTTTTGTGAAATCGAATTTTTTTAAACAATCAAATGTAACCTTGAAAATTAATTATTTTTAAACGTATAAACTTGTAAAACTTCGTAAAAAACCAATCAGTTTGAATTCTAAATCCCTGCAGCCACAACTTAATCTTATAATCGAATTCATATTGATTTAACTATATAATTCAAAAGTATGATTATTATTAACCGCATAGAGCTCATTCTTTATTTTCGTGGTAATAAAGTTGCAAGATTTGTCTTTTCGATGGTTATAATTTTAATCTAAATTAGTACAATACATCACAGGCTATGATATTTAAAATTATTACGATTATTGATTTACCATAATATTATATAATGTACCTATAAGTTATATAAATATATATATATATATAACTACTATAAAAATTCTCGTATATTATTTACTTTTTAAGATAAGTATAGGGAATTGCATAAAATTTCGATTATATTTGTTGGAACCGTTAAAGTTTTTGAAAACTATATCTATTCACCTATTATATCTACGGTCAGATAAATCATCGATGAAACGAAACTTTTTTCGGGTTAATAATATATCAAAAATGTGTAGTCTTAATGTCGTCTAAATGTAGAGGCTTTATAAGTTATAACGTTATCTGATTACGCTCAATAAAGCCTTTCGACGCGAGCCAAAATGTCGGTCGACTCTTTTTTTTTTGTCGAGTAAGAGTAATAATAGTGTGTCCCGTCTGTTCGATTCAGACGTCCCGTTTATATGAGATTTCGTCGTGCGACAGCGTACTTTTTTTTTGTTGAGCTCGTCCCGAAAACACAATAATAGAATAACAATGCCGGCGGCGGACTTCATTCGGACGCATAATCAATAACGAATGGTACTGTTTACGTTACAGGAATATCAAAGTAAACTTCAGAAAGTTTGTCAAGTGCGGCAAGAGGTCAACACGCACCTGCAAAACCTACCGGATTTAGCACAGTTGCCCAGCGTTAAAGGCGGCCTTGCGCCTCTTCCGTCGGCTGGCGATTTGTTCACAGTGGGCTGATGACTTTAATTGGCTCTATATATTATATTATATATAGTTATATACCGGCTGGTCGCTTTTGCTCCCGTTGAGAATGCCGCCAATATATAATTTTTACGACGCACGCTCGTCCCAAGTGTACCGCCTAGCTATTACATCGAGTAATAACGATTAAATGGTTTTTTTTTTTTTTTTTGGAATTTTAAAACTTAAGGCCCTGGTTATAATGCGTATATTAGTTAAATTGTATTATTACCCATGTATCATGTAAAATAATATTATAAAATGGCGTTTGATAATAATTTTCTTATTATCATTATTATTATTAATCATTTACATTGGTTCAATATTTTTATTAAATCTATAATATAATATATTTTAACTCAATGTATTTTACAGTTCTCAAAGTGTATAATAATATGTTATAGTAAATATTGCATTTGTCATTAAAAAAAAATAAATATATTTAATGTACCAACAATTCGCTATTGTTTTATTGGATGAACTTGTATGATTGTATCGTTCTGCCGTTACGTGCTTTGGGGGAGGGGGGAGGCAGTTATTATGACGTTTCGACATGGCGAAAAAGGCGTCAGAATAGATATGAACAGTCTATTCGGAGTAAGTGGCTTAGTGTGCACAAATATTATGATATTATATGTTTGTGTATCATCAATACCCTCATCTGTCTGTTGTATACACAAAGTGTTGTCTCAGAAATAT